ACACGTGAAGTCGGCCATCGAGGCGGTGGCCAACGGGTTGTCGCTGAGGAAGGCGGCTAATATGTTCTGCATATCGAAATCTGTTCTTCATCGTTACAGTAAACTGGGTATACCAGTTTTAATGAAGAAATATTACATGCGAAANTAATAATAATAATAATAATAATAATAATAATAATAATAATAACAATAATAATAATAACAATAACAAAAACAACAACAATAATAAATTATCGAATATAATTCATTAACTAATCGGTATAATGTACCTGTAACTGACCTATGGTGTATCGAATATATATCATAAAATATGATTTTTTTAAAAGGGTTCGATGTAACGAATGCTGGAAGAAGAATATCACCATCGAGATGATTTATTTTATTTTTCGAATTATTCGAACTCGAGTGACGTCGTATAAACGAATTAGCTAGAGAGAGAGAGAGAGAGCGTGTATCGTTTCTCGAGCGAGGTTTAACATTAAAGAGACACGTAACGTGAAACGATGAACGTCATCGTTTCACGCTACGTGTATCGTCGAATACTCGAGGAACGAGATCCGGAAACGAGATCGTCGACGAACGACGACGAGATGAATGGACGACGAGAATGAATTAAACGCGAAAAAATAAAAAAAGTGCCTTCGAAACGCCTCGACGAAATCCTCGATAATTACGATAATCCCTTGTTCCAATTATATTTCTAATATCGAACTCTTCTGTGTTTACGATTTTTCAGAGTCACGGTCGGTGGGATATCTCAACTGCCAGAAAGTCACCTATCCGTGCAAGAATTGCGGCAAAGTGTACAATTACTACTCCAGTTTGGCGAGGCATTTGAAGCACGAATGCGGGGTGGAACCGAAGTTTCACTGTCCACTCTGCCCTTACAGAACGAAGCACAAATCCAGCTTGAACACGCATCTGAACGGCAGGCATATGAAACTTTTGAGCGAATTTTACACTATGCCAAATGGGAACAAGCTGTCATCCACCATGGACACTGGGAATTAATAATTGCCTGTCATGTTTACTTTCGTATTTCTTTCCTTCTTATTCTTCCTCTTCTTGTTTTATTATTTCTTATTATTGGAAACAATCGAAATGTTGATCGTTTTCCTTATCGAAAAAACGATATTTAAGAATTTTATAAGGATATATTCTATCCTTATTTTTTCGATAATTCCTCCTCTCCCTTTCCTCTTTATTTTCGCTTAAAAATTATTGTTATTAGAAATAGAAATTTA